ATATTCAGTAATTGATAGAACATCTTTCTTTGTATTTCGAAACTAATCTTATAGTTGAAGCATTATAGAAAACTTATTGTAGAGAAAAAAAAAACTCATGTAGATTTTCCCATATTACATAGGCATTGAAAATATCATTGGAGATAATTAGAAAGAGATTCGAATCACTTGTAGAGTAAAACCAAGATTTGATTAATGAATCAATGCACTCCCAAGCTTCATCTTTTTCACTAGCGGTTTGGGATTTGCTATTTATGTGACCAAGGACTTTAGCACTGTAACGCCTCGTTCCTGGTATGTACTCTAAGCTACTATATTTTCCTTTTATGAAGGCTACTCGACGATTCGGTAGCCCTAACTCATCGAGTAGATGCCAGTTAACGTGCAAATTTTAATGAGGCAACTGGACGAATCAAATCCCCGACTCGGCGAGTAGGCCATGCTGGATGAAACCCTAATCTTTAGGGTTTACACCCTATTTAAGCAACTTTATGCACCACCATATCAGCCTCCATCACCTCCAGAGCATAAACCCCAAAACCCTAATCATCCATAAGTGGTATTGAGCTTTCTTTAACATTTTGGGTATTACTTGGTGCAACTTGAAGCTAGAGGAAGAAGTAGAAGGTAGAAGACTCAAAGGAGAAGGACTATATCTAGAATCTACACCTCATTTGCCATATTTTTTGGTAATCAAGCTTCTAACTTGATCTTCTTTCTCTTAGATCTATTTGTCCCCATATTATGAAGGTTTTGGCTCAAAAACCTTGGTCCTTGGTATTGTAACGTTCTTTCTAAGAGGTTCATATCTCAGATCTAGGCACCCATGAGTTGCAGAAGCTCAAGATGGCCACATTTATTCAGTCATGATCCCATTCTATGCAATTAGCCTTCATTATTAGCTAAGTTTTGGCGTTTTAGCTTCATGACACCATGCATGCACGTAAAGTTAGCAACTTTACATGTAATACCATCCTTAGGAGTCCATATCCATGAGTTGGAGGCATTGGAATGGATTATAATCATCTGAATGGATATGTCACAAGGAGGACTCGCCAAGTCATTCATGGACTCGGCAAGTCAGGTTGTGAATCCTGTTTCTCCTGGTAGTGAGTTGAATCAGTGAGTAGAGGAGGTAACACGGTGAGTTCGACAGGACTAGGACTCGGAGGTTGAGGGACTCGACGAGTCATGGGTGACTCGGCGAGTCAAGTCGCAAGTAGTAGGGTTTGCGAGTTCAAGAACTCTTCGAGTCAATAGGCTGACTCGGCGAGTAGAGTCACCCTGGAAATTTGACTCTGAGCAGGACTTTGACTTTGAATAGGGGTAAAATGGTCATTCTACCCTAAGAAGGAGTACCAGATTTTGATTAAGTGTTGTTATGAATTGATAGCCAGGAAGTCGCTGGAGCAGCAAACATGGAGTTCCTCACTTGAGTATCAGCAGTCAGTCATACGAGGTGAGTTTCCCTTTAGTAGGAATGGGTCTAAGGCACCAATGCCGGCCCATTTTAGCAGTGTAGTATATCGGGGTTAGCTTGATGCAGTTTATATGTTTTCGAACTTTGGTCCGATGTCGGGACAGTCCTGAGAAGTAGCTATGTGTGCTTGATTTCTTTGTGATTCATGCATGTTTGTGTTATGTGTAGTATATCGGGCAAGCCCGATGCAATATATGTGATTATGTTATACGTTTATGCTATGTTCAGTTTATTCCGGACTTCGGTCCGACGCCGGGCGGGGCCCGATGTAGTGGGTGGGGCCCAAGATATTCCAGACTTCGATTCGATGTCGGGCAGGGTCCGGTGCAGTGGGTGGGGCCCAGTATATGCATATGTATTTGTATGGTATGTGGTAGATTGGGGGAGCTCACTAAGCTTCGTGCTTACAGTTTCAATTTTGGTTTCAAGTACTTCCGGTAGAAAAAAGGAAGAGCTCGGGATGATCGCAAGGCACACACCACAGTTCTTAGCCTGGGAGTTTCACTCTGATGTTTTTATCACATGTTTTGTTTCAGTTGATTTGATATGATGTTTTGAGATACATGACACATGATTTTCTATTTTATATTGGTTGGTTATGGATTTCTATAATAACTTAAACAAAATTTTTGGGATGTTTCAAGCACCCTTGTAAATATCTTGAAAAATTATCAGCATAGCTTATATTTGGATACATTTACCGTTAACTTGAAGTTGAATTGATTATAAACATTTGTAACCGCATAAACTAGTTGTTGGTCAATGGGTGTCGTGGTAGATGAATGTGCATGGTGGTGGAGATTATAGCAGAAAATAATAGAAAATGAAATTAAAAACGAGACAAAGATAAAAGCACTTACCGTAGGTAGAAGGATTGTAGAAATATATGCCATACTATACCTTAGATCTTGACAGGAAGGCAAACAACATAAAGAAATATCAATTGCTTCATTTCATCTAGACTTAAATATATGTAGTATAATGGATATGACATTTTTCTATAAATCAAGGGACTTAATCTATGTAACTATAATTTACCCATAATGTGTAATTGATGATAAATTAAACCAACAATTATGAGAGAAACTTATGAGGAGAATATCAATGGATTCATCTCCTCTGGCATACATTCTTTCTCTCTATGAAAACACCACAATCATATATGTGTTATCCGTTCATCCATTGTTGCAAAACTCGGCCTATTCGGCCGATTACTCGGAATCGGCCCTCTACCGAGGCGAGTAATGTGAACTTGGCAAAAAAACTCGGATTAAGTCAAACTCAGTAAAAAAATCGGTCAAACTTGGTAAAAAATCGGTCAACATCTCTCTAACTCGGGCCTACTCAGTATTACTCGGTCTTACTTCCTACTTGGTCAAACTCGGCCAACTCGGTCAAACTCGGTCAAAGGGTCAAAATTGTCATAAAAAGAGAAAAAAAATCAAGAATTTCAAGATTAATACGTATAATACACTTCATGATTTATTATTTAACACACATATGTGATTATTACTACATATATATCTTAAATTTTCAGTAATTATTCACGAAGTGAAACAATTGTATGTATTTCAGTTTTTATGTGCTCACATGTATCTAATTTTGTTATATATTTCAATCAAATCATGATTTTAACTTATGATTTTGATATATATAATTTTTCTAAAAATATTTCTACATGAATTACGAAAGCGAATACTCCCCGAGTACTCCTGAGTACTCGCTACTCAGTTGGCTGAGCATGTACCGAGTAGCGAGTTCTACAACCTTGCATTCATCAGATTGATCAATAAGACACCTTTACCGGAAGTGAGAAAGAATCGTGGATCATTATCTTCAAGATCAAAGGGATATAATCTTCTCCAAATAACCAAAGTGCTTCTAGCCTAGCAGTATCAGGTGGTGCTCTCTTTGTTTGAGGACGAGGGTTCAAGTATCGTGGTAGACATATGTTGAATTAGGTGTTACTTTAGGAGTAGATTATATATTTTTATTTACTGGTTCAAAAAAAATCTCCAAGTAAGTGTTCTTTATTATATTTAAGTTTTATCAAGTTTATGTTGAAATGATCCTATGATTATACCAATGAATCCAACAAAAAAAATCATTTATTATGTGAGAAGGTCTTCAACAAATGAAAAAAAATCATGTACTTTCGCGTTTATAAACATTAATCATAAATAATTAAAGTTAAAAGGTAGATTTATAAAGCTATATATACTTTAGTAAACTAAACGTTAAGATTCTAAAATAAACGCATATAATAACAACTAATAAAAAAAACCCGAGCTTCGCCATAGGTCTTTTTTTATTATTTGGTATTGTGATATAACAGATTTGACAAAGATTACCGAAAATTCGTTGTGTAGAATTCAAATAAAAGTTTATGTGTATTTATCTGATTTAACAACAAACCACCATATCTAACACTTGGTAAAAACATAGTAGTTTTACAAAGAGTATATTGGGAATTTAAATGATTAATTTTCATATGTTTCTTTTAGTGTAGATGTTTAACAATTGAGTCTACCAATAGCCATTAATGATGAAGTTCGTATTCAACAACAATAAATGATATGCAAATCCTTCAAACATAAAATGCAAGTAAAACTGCAAATAACCGTATGTATCCAATCCATACATACATTTCTTGATAACTTTGAGCGGTCATTATAACCCATCTTCGAATGACTTGTAAAACAGGGACTAAAATTTTAAGAAACAGTAAATAGGGACGGAAAATGCAAAAAGATTTTTTTTGGACCTTGCAGTGAAATTGATATACCACAGGGACCAAAAGTGTTTTCACTACAAGACAATTATTGAGTAGGATAACTATCAAGGTTCTAAAAAGCTCCGCCATGGCACGCCACGACTTCAAGGCTTGCACCTGCCACCAAGTTTTGCCAAAACGCCGCCTTAACTCATATATGTGTATAAAAATGAATAATATTTGAAAACACATATAAAAATATTAATTATATAGAAAATTGACACCTTAAGTCACGTCTTACAAACACCATGACCCAACAAGACTCGGAAAAGCTTGAGGCTTGACATTGCCGCCAAGTCATGCCTTACGTTATTTAGAACATTGATAACTATTAACCAAACACGAACCCCCACGCTCCGCCTCCCATCGTCACCTTATTATCTCCAAGACAAAGAGAAGTCTATATCAATATTTGAACTTTTTCACATCATCTCATTTATGTCACTAAATTTTGTTGTTGGGGCACAAGATTCGTTTACAATTTATCACAACTTTATAAAATCACTTTAATTGTGATAGTGCATGCTGACAATTCCAATAATTATGACAACTTAGCTAAACTTTAGGCTCCGCAAAATAGTTTGCAAAATCATTAATTTTTGGAGATAACTAGTGGTCTGGAAATATCTGTTACTTGGAAATAAATAATGAATGATTTTAGAAGTTAGATTTCACAAATGTTTTGCAATGCTAAATGTTTTTGGGAGGAAATAGAAAACCCAAGTTATACTTAGCGTGCATGGAATCATGCTCGGGTTCTGGTGTATACACGATACCGCCAGGGTAATGGATCAGTGCCTCGGTGGGTACCGCCATAAGACGTCTCCTGTGGGTTCTTCAGCCCTCTCTCTTAATGCTTATCGACTTGTACCATATGTTGTTATGTATGTTTTTAGTTGAGTGGATTTAGTGAGGTACAAAAAGTAGGGTTTTCATGTGAAAATTGAGAAGAATGGAAGAAAATAAAAGAGAAAAAGTTGATGTGAAACTCATGTGACAAATAAATTGAATGGATTGAATGGTTGGAGAAATGGACTCCCTCCAAATTTCTCCCTCCAACCTTAGCTAACAACAAAAATGTCATGTTTTGAATAGTTGTTCGAGGTAATAGATAACACTGGTTATACTCGGCTAACAACAAACATGAGAGCAAACACAAATATTCCTCTTTTGAAACTTCCCTATAGTCCCAACTGACATTTTAATCTCCATATGCGACGGGATAGTATTTAAAAGCAAATACGTCAATTATCAAAATTAAGTAATCCGAATAAAATATTTTCTTGAATTCGGAGATGAATTTTCTGAATGGCTAAATTAAGTTATCATTTTACAATTAAGATACATATTATTATGGGTTTTTTTACAGTTTTTATAGTGAGAAACTTCTATAGAAACTTTTTATTAAATTAAATGCATTTTGCATCCAAAACGGGTAAAAACTTTAAAACGAACTCATGCTCCACATTCGTTCATATACAAAAGGCCAGTGTGTACCATGGTTGTTAAAATCGCGATCCTGATCATAGGATCGTACGATCCTATGATCCTAGATATGATAAACAATCCGGATCGTCAACGGATCGTATTTGAGGTAGGATCGTAGGATCGAGATCCGATCCGATCCTACCTTCCTTTGATTTATTTTTTTTAATTATTTTTTGTCTTTTACCCTTTGCCAATTTAACGTTTTCATTTTGTATTGTGACTTATGAAAATTTTATAACTTTTGAACGAAAAATTTAATATTTGAAATGCTTTTCTTGTTTAAAATTTATAAATTAAAATTATGTTTTATTTTGTGGGATCTTAGGATCCCGATCCCGATCTTACAAACCCAAAAAAGATCCTATTTAGAATCCCGATCTTGACAACATTGGTATCAATGTGTTCTCTTTCTTGTAAAGCCAATTATGCTATAAGTATAATATTTAAAAGAATTATTGTAGTGCATCTTAAAAGATATTGGATAAGAAAAACACACCACGTGTAGACATATTACAATTTGGTGCGGAATGTGTGGACATCTCCAAATTATAATCATACACCTTGCCCTCACAAAAGAGTCTTATATAATTAGCTATATCTCATTTTTTTATCTTTTGCGGTTCCTAACATTATCATCAGAAAAATCGTTTCTTCTGCATACAAAGAAGAAGAAAAGAGAAGCATACACAGAGGTATTCTCCTTTATTTTATGATTCACATGCTTATGTTCGAACCGATTCAAATGGCTCTCTCTCTCTCTCTCTCTCTCTCTCTCTCTCTCTCTCTCTCTCTCTCTCTCTCTCTCTCTCTCTCAACAAAAGCTTAGATGTAGTTGCAATTTGCACATCAAAGGATTTGTGATAAAATGATTACAAATATATATATATATATATATATATATATATATATATATATATATATATATATATAACGCGTGAGAACCACAGTTTTAAAATTAATTAAATTTTCATATTAACAAATCAAAATTATTAATTAATATTTTAAATAAATTATTACTTAAGAAATATTTTTTTAGTTATATAAAATTATAATAATTGATTTAAATAAATACGTGAAGTTATATCATCTTATAATATGTATTAATTTTATTTTATTTTTCAATCTAATGTTAGTAATATAATATAATTAGAGTGAGAAAATTAAAATTTGAAATTTAAAATGAAGAATCAATTATTAATTTAATATAATTAGAATGGGAAAATTTAAAATTTGAAATTTGAAATGCATAATCAATTTTAATTTAATGTAATTAGAGTGGAAATTTAAAATTTGAAATTTGAAATAGATAATTAATAGGTTGACAAGTGGCATGATAAGTGATATATAACATTAATGAGGAGTTCTAATTGTATGACACTTGTCAATATGAGATTAAATATATCCTTTTACTAGTTTATAACCCGTGGGAACCACGGTTATAAAATTAATCAAACTTTTATAGTAAAATCTCAAAATTATTAATAAGTTAATTTAAATAAATTATTAATTTAAGAGATATTTTTTATTAGTTATGTGAAATTATAATCATTGATTCAAATAAATATATAAAATTAATTTTTAATATATATTAAATATTTTTTTATTTGTGAGTTAATGAAAACAATAATTTAAAATTTAAAATTTAAAATAGAATCACATTAATGAGGAGGTCTAATAAATTTAAAATGGAAAACCAATAGATTGAGAAGTGGCAACACATTAATTAAAATGTCTAATATGATGACACATGACAAAAGAACTACTCTTTTATTAATATAGAGATATATGTCATTCTTTTATCTTTTGCAGTTCCTAACGTTATCATCAGAAAAATCGTTTCTTCTGCATACAAAGAAGAAGAAAAGAGAAGCCTACACAGAGGTATTCTCCTTTATTTTATGATTCACATGCTTATGTTCGAACCGATTCAAATGGCTCTCTCTCTCTCTCTCTCTCAACAAAAGCTTAGATGTAGTTGCAATTTGCAGATCAAGGATTTGTGATAAAATGATTACAAAATATATATATATATATATATATATATATATATATATATATATATATATATATATATATATACTAGTTTATAACCCGTGAGAACCACAGTTATAAAATTAATTAAATTTTCATATTAACAAATCAAAATGATTAATTAATATTTTAAATAAATTATTACTTAAGAAATATTTTTTTAGTTATATAAAATTATAATAATTGATTTAAATAAATACGTGAAGTTATATCATCTTATAATATGTATTAATTTTATTTTATTTTTCAATCTAATGTTATTAATATAATATAATTAGAGTGAGAAAATTAAAATTTGAAATTTAAAATGAAGAATCAATTATTAATTTAATATAATTAGAATGGGAAAATTTGAAATTTGAAATTTGAAATGCATAATCAATTTTAATTTAATGTAATTAGAGTGGAAATTTAAAATTTGAAATTTGAAATAGATAATTAATAGGTTGACAAGTGGCATGATAAGTGATATATAACATTAATGAGGAGTTCTAATTGTATGACACTTGTCAATATGAGATTAAGTATATTTTATAAATATACCTATTCATAAATTCATCTAGACGGAACTTTTTACACATGATCGTGCATGCGTTACAATTTACTGAATCAAATGAATATAATTATATACCACGTAGTAGGTATTCGGGACAGCTACTGAACTGGACCAATTTTCTACAATACCAGAGGGTATTCGGGATTTGACTTCGCCTAAAATCGGGACTTGGTGTTCATGTCACTGTATCGTTTTTCCCCTCATAATAAAGTTCCTATTTTCATTTATTTTAACGCTTCTACTATTTTAATTCTCCATTTATTAGACATATTTGCCCTTAACAATCAACTTGAACATTTTGCCCCTTGGTATTAGTAACGAGTAACGGTACCTTTTACCATGCTACCTCTAAATCGGTTAGGTATTTGGGATTGTTTTTTAACCAAAATCAGTTTTTTTGAAAGACATAGGCTAATCATACCCTTTTTAACTTCTAGTAATACCCCTTAATCATTATGTGAACTTTTTCTTTAATCGATTAAAATGATTATGTAATAATTTTTTTTTCACTATAATGATTAAGTGATTATTTGACTTTTAATACTAATAAATAGTTTTTCTTAAGGGTAATTTTAAATACACAAATAAGCGTGAGATATTGATTGATTAATTATTTTTACTCGTTATTGTTTATTTTAATATTAAATAATATCCATTTTCGATTAAAAGCTATAAGATTAATAGTATTTTCAATTACGCCCCTTTAATTTCCAATGAAGTTTCACTTGACAGATTTTACTTATTAAGTTTTTAATATCCAGTGAATTTATTTTATTATAGTTTTAGATAACTTATATAAGATAATATTGAATGTTAATGAAAATTAAATATCACTATATTATTTTCTGGTTTATGAAAAATAATACCAATTCTTTGTCAATAACAACTTAAATCAATAAAATATTTTTATATTTTAAATTTATAAAACAAAAAGCGTTTGTTATATATTATTTACATGCATCTAATAAAATTATTTTATATAAAAGAATTATATTTAACACATGGCAATAATAAAATAATATTTCAACCCAACGGATAATAAAAAAGTTCAAATACATTCCCACTTAATCGATATGTATCCAAGGTGCTACAGAACTACGAGGCCTAAGTTGATTGTAAAGTTGATTGTATAATTCAAAACGAGGCCAATACAGAGTTTCCCGCGTTTTCTCTTTCTCTCTTTCTATCTTTCTGGCGATGATTGTCAACGGTGGTTAACGATGATTTGCAATGGTAAAAGGTGTTTTATGATGGTAATTGGTGGTTCCGATGGTCTTTTTATGATCTCTATTTCTCTCGTTTTGTCTCCGGCTTGGTTTGGCCACCACCGGTTAGTTGACAGTCGTTGGTTAAATCTGGTTCCACTGTTGAACATTTTTTATGATTATTGTTCATATAGTGCTTGAATGGTTTTTTAATGTTTATATAAACTATCGGTTGTTTATTGGTTGTTTAAATGAATTAATGGTGATCATAGTTCAATATAACTATATTTTGTAAATTGTTCAAAATCTGATTATTTAGTGTTTTTAGAAACAAAACACAGTCTTCAAAACATAAATATTATCAATACACAGGAAAAAAGTTGAATAAAAAATTGTAAAAAGGAAAAAGCTGCAAAACAAAAAGTTACATAAAAGTCAATTTACCAAAAAATTAATTATTAAAGGGGTTAGGCAAAAAAATAAAGGGGTATTAATAGTATCACCCTTTTTGAAAATCACGAACGGTCACGCTGCTCCCTAGAATGTACGATATGTACGTAACCGCTATATATCATCATCATTATTCTTTAAAATATGATCATATTATTAGCTCTCTACAACTACCGAATAAAAAACTATTTTCTTGATTTCTATTACTACAGATCATCTTTAAATATTTTAAAACTTTATCTTTAAAGTTCATTTGGAATATGAAATTAACAATTTTTACGATTTGCGTCATCAGTCTATGAGCCAAAGCTTATACCAGTTTAATCGATGCAATATATAGCCATAGCTAATACCAATTTAGTCGATGCAATATATCTAGAATGCATGTAAATATTATTCCATCCATTAATAATTTCCGTTGAATTTTGTCTAATGAATTGTTGGTTACTATCCAGGTGTTACCACAAGAAATAATTTATAACAATGGATGTTATAAGTGTCATTCTTAAACCAGTTGTTGAGACTCTCATGGTTCCCGTGAAAAAACACTTAGGATACCTCATTTCCTATGAAAAATATGTGAAGGATATGGATACCAAAATGAGGGAGTTGAACGCTACAAGACGTGCCGAGGAAGACCACTTGAACACAAACACAAGATTTCGTCGTGAGACTTCATTGCAAGTCAAGGGTTGGTTGGAAGAAGTAGAAAAGATCGAGGAGAAAGTAAAATGCATCCATAGAAATGTGTACAATTGTTGCAGTCTAAAGATTAGGCATACAATTGGACAGATGGCCTTCGAGATAATTGAGGAGATTGACAGTGTCACAAGACAACACTCCCAGGTTACATGAAATGATAATCTTGAACCTCTAGGAAGAGTTAATTCCATGACGGCATCCACCTCTACACCATCAACCGAACATAAGGACTTCCTATCAAGAGAGGTGACTTTTACCAAAGTACTCAAAGCACTTGAACCAAACCACAAAACCCACATGATAGCCTTATGTGGGATGGGTGGAGTAGGGAAGACCACCATGACGAAAAGGCTCAAAATGGTTGTGCAGGAAAGGAAAATCTTTATATTCATTGTTGAGGCAGTTATAGGGGAAAGGACGGACCCTATTGCCATTCAGGAAGCTATAGCCGATTACCTCAGTGTAGAGCTCAATCAGAAAACTAAGTCAGCAAGAGCTGAGAAGCTTCGTCAAGAGTTCAAGGCCAAGTCAGATGGTGGTAAGAATAAGTTCTTTGTAATACTCGATGATGTCTGGCAATTCGTTGATCTTGAAGATATTGGTTTAAGTCTTTTTCCAAATCAAGGTGTTGATTTCAAGGTCTTACTGACATCACGAGACACAAATGTTTGCACTATGATGGGGGTTGACGATAATTCGATTCATAACATCGGGCTTCTAACTGGAGCAGAAGCACAAAGTTTGTTCCACCAATTTGTAGAGACTTCTGATCCCGAGCTCCATAAGATAGGAAAAGATATCGTCAGAAAAATGTAACGGTTTACCCATTGCCATCAAAACCATGACATGTACTCTTAGAAGTAAAGCTAAACATGCATGGGACGATGCACTTTCGCGTTTAGAGCATAATAACATTTCTAATGTTGCGGTTGAAGTTTTCAAAACCAACTACAAAAATCTCCAAGACGAGGAGACTAAATCTGTTTTTTTTTTATGTGTGGTTTGTATCCAGATGACTTCGATATTCCTACCGAGGAGTTGGTGAGAGGTATGGATGGGGCTTGAAGTTATTTGATAGAGTGTATACTATACAAGATGCAAGAAACAGGCTAAATACTTGCATTGAGCGGTTGGTGCACATAAACTTGTTAATTTGTGATGATGGTGTACGCGTCAAGATGCACGATCTGGTGCGTGCTTTTGTTTTGGATATGTTTTCTAAAGTTGAGCATGTTTCAATTGTCATCCATGGTAATATGCATGGTTGGTCTGAAAATGATATGGGAGGCTCTTGCAAAACAATCTCATTAACATGCAAGGGTATGTCTGAGTTTCCTAAAGACCTCAAGTTTCCAAACCTCTCCATTTAAAACTTATGCATGGAGATAAATCGCTAAGGTTTCCTATAGACTTTTATACAGGAATGGAAAAACTTCAAGTCATATCATATGATCACATGGAGTATCCACTGCTTTCCTCATCACCTCAATGCACCACCAACCTCCGAGTCCTTAATCTTCATCAATGCTCGTTTGATTTCTCTTATATTGGAAATCTGTTGAATCTGGAAGTATTCAGCTTTGCTAATTCTGGCATTGAATTGTTACCTTCCATGATCGGAAAATTAAAGAAGCTAAGGCTTCTGGATTTGTCAGAGTGTCGTGGTCTTTGTATAGATAATGGTGTCCTAAAATATTTGGCTAAACTTGAAGAGCTTTATATGAGAGTGGCTGATAAACATAGAAAGGCAATAATCTTCACAAGTGATAATTGTGATGAGATGGCAGAGCGTTCAAAAACCCTTTCTACGTTAGAATTCGAGTTCTTTGAAAACAATGCTCAACCGAAGAATATCTTGTTTGATAATCTTAAACGATTCAAGATCTCAGTGGGATGTTATTTAAATGAAGATTACAGTAAAAGCATGCATGCATATGAAAACACATTGCAATTGGTCACCAGCAAAACTGAACTACTGGAATCTAGAGTAAATAAGTTGTTTGAAAAAACAGAGGTGCTTTCTTTAAGTGTGGGAGATATTTATGATTTTTCAGATTATCTTGAGGTGAAGTCCTCAAATCTTTCTAAATCCTATTCGTTGTACAATTTAAGAGTCCTTGTTGTTTCCAAATGTACAGAATTGAGATACCTTTTCACAATTAGTATTGCAAACACTTTGTCAAAGCTTGAGCTTCTTCAAGTTTATGACTGCACTAATATGGAAGAAGTAATACATATCGAGGGTCGTGGAGAAGTGACAATTACACTCCCAAAGTTGAAGTCTCTATCTTTTTGTGGGCTACCGAAGCTGTTGGGTTTGTGTCGTAACGTTAACATAATTGATCTACCACTACTAATGGAGTTGAAACTTGCACGCATTCCTCGTTTCAAATCTAGTTTGTTGACCGAAGAGGTAAATATGTTTTATAATAATAGAATTGATCAACATATTTTCAACTAAAAGTTTCACAATATATATATATATATAATATATATATATATATATATATATATATATATATATATATATATATAATATATATATATAATTTATATATATATTATAATATCATTTTTAACCTCTTTCCATACTGATATTCAAAAAAAATATGTATCATACATTCATATGCATCATATGCACATCATTTGGAAAAACATTGGCGTTGCTATATAAAGCGATTTGTTGAAAAAAAAAAATCAAAAATGTCTTTTTTTCAAGTGAAATGTACATATGATGCATATTTTTCATAGTTTTTTTTAATATTAATATAAAAAGAGGTTGAAAATAATGAATTTATATGTTTTAGATATTTTTTTTGATAGAAGATTTGTTCAAAAATTAAAGTTGAAAAACTGATCCTAAGATATAAGTTCATAGATTTTTTATATTTGTAAATGATTTGTTGGCATGTATGACAATAAAGGAAATACTTTTTTTAGTATTAATAATGTTATTTGTAAGCGTGACATCGACCCCTCCATTCATGTTTTTTAAATAATTAGATATACAAGTGGATATTATGTGAGCTTCTTAACCGATCAAAAAGGGTGGTGTACATGAAAGCACATGTACTTAGGGTATGCATAATGCATTTAATTATAATGCATTCAATTATATAAAATTTATTAAATTAACACATAACATTCTATTTTTCATAGTACATTATTATTTTTTTCTATAATATATTGAACTCTATAAAATTCAATGAAACATATAAAAAAAATTCTATTTACAAAACCTAGTTTATGACATTTATTAAAGATTAAAAGTTTTTATTTTTTTCATCGAAAAATTTAATGATCATTGAACTCTTCGTTGATTGAACTCAAATGTTACATTCTTATGGTTAAGTTTAATACATTGGATATCATAAAGTAATTCCACCTCATTTCTATTAAACTATGCATTATAGATACTCTTAGGTTGTATACAAAATTAAACGACGACCTAGATGAAACAAATCAAACAAATAATTTGCTATCTATTATTATGGTCACTAGACCATAATACTTTACTTAACTATCATTGTTCATTAACTAAATTACTATAATAAAATTCATCTCTTAGTATAAAAAATTTCACATCTCTCTTTCAAAAACAAAAAAGTTTTCACATCTTAATTAAT